ATGCTCTGCCGCCCCTCACTGCCCGGTGTGTGCGGCGGGTAACAAGCCCGCCAATCACCAGATGGGGCAGGGGGGCTGCAAGCCTCCCCGCATCTCTCAGCAAGCATCGGGGGCTAGCCAGTCGACCCAGGCTGCCTCCGACGTAGTTCGTGCGTCGACGTCGTCGCCCATGGAGGAGGCTGTAGAGACGATCCAGTAATGGATCGGGTCTCCAGCCTCCTGGTCCAGACGAACCTGAACCACTGTGCCGCGGCGCAGGATCTCTTCCTGCAAACCATGGCACAGTGGTCGATAGGTGTTGCCGTAGTCGCGGAGCCCTATTCTGTCCCTCCCCGTCCAAACTGGATGGGTGACTGGGACGGCTCCGTGGCAGTCGTCGGTTCCACGACGGCTCATTCCCCGCCCTTGTCGCTAAGAAACAAGGGCACTGGATATGTTGCCGTCGAGTGGGGGGGGATCACCATATATGGTGTCTATTTCTCCCCCAACCGGAGTTTGAACGACTTCGAGGTTTTCCTAACCAGCTTGGAGACCTCGATACGGCGACTAGCGTCTGGGCACGTCCTTGTGCTGGGGGACTTCAACGCAAAGTCCATTGCGTGGGGTTCCCCCAGGACGGACGCCAGGGGCGAGGCCGTAGAGGAGTGGGCGGCCTCGGTGGGCCTCTGTCTTCTAAACAGAGGCTCCACCAACACGTGCGTGCGACAGCAGGGGGGGTCGATAGTGGACCTTTCGTTCGCTACCCCTGCCCTCGCCGCACGAGTAAGGAACTGGTGTGTCCTGGAAGAGGTTGAGACGCTCTCGGATCACCTGTATATCCGATTTGAGCTCTCCCGGACCCAGGACTCCAGTAGGGGTCACGTGGCGCGGCGTTTATCCCGCTTTCCGCGGTGGGCTGTTGCCAGGCTGAACCGGGACCTACTAGAGGAGGCAGCCATAATTCACTCGTGGCTGTCTCCTCAGGCTCCGACCGAGGAGGTCGACGTGGGGGCTGGCCGCTTTCGCGATGCGATTACGCATGTATGCGATGCGGCCATGCCCCGCGTTCGAGGTCGTCGGCCTCCAAGGAAGGAGGTCTACTGGTGGTCCCAGGAGCTGGCGGACCTCCGTGCGGCCTGTACACGTGCCCGGAGGTCCTACACGCGCAGTCGGCGGCGTCACCGTGGAGACGGTGAGGAGGACCGGCTTCATGAGGAGTACCGACGGGCGCGGAAAACTCTGAAGCTGGCCATTAGCCGCGCCAAAGAGGAAAAAAGACAGGAGATGCTGGAGGGTCTTAATCGTGACCCCTGGGGTCGCCCTTACCGCGCGGTGCGACAAAAGCTCCGCGCGTCGGGCCCCCCCCTTACGGAGACTCTCCAGCCCAGCTTCCTGCGAGAAGTGGTTGAGGGCCTTTTCCCACAACGGGCGGAACACACTCCCCCGTCGATGGCCTCCCTGGCCGGAGACGACGGGGAGCACGGGGAGGACAATGTTCCGCCCGTCCGGGAATCGGAGGTAGGGGCGGCTGTTCTACGGATCCGTTCCAAGAACACCGCCCCTGGGCCAGACGGGGTACCGGCCCGAGTGCTGGCCCTGGCCCTCAACCACATGGCAGACCGCCTCGGGGAGGTGTTCGACGCTAGCTTGGCGTCGGGACGCTTCCCTGAGTGCTGGAAGAGCGGGAAGCTGGTCCTACTGACGAAGCCGGGACGGCCTGCCGATTCGGTCGCGGCCTATAGGCCCATCGTGCTGCTGGACGAGGCGGGCAAATTGTTTGAGAGGGTTCTTTCTGCCCGCATCGTCCGGCACCTCTGCGAGGTGGGCCCCGATCTGTCGGACGCCCAATTTGGTTTTCGGGCGGGGCGTTCGACAGTCGACGCCGTGTTGCGCCTGAGGGCCGTGACCGAAGAGGCCGTGAGCTGTGGCGGCGTGCTGTTGGCGGTGTCATTAGACATCGCCAACGCATTCAATAGTCTGCCATTCAGCTGCATCAGGGAAGCACTCCACTATCATGGGGTGCCAAAGTACCTGAGGCGGCTGGTGGCAGACTATTTAGAGGAGCGTACCGTCGTGTACGAGGACCGAGAAGGTAATCTGAGGTGTCGGCCCATGTCGTGCGGTGTTCCACAGGGGTCTGTTCTTGGACCCCTCTTGTGGAACATAGGGTACGACTGGGCCCTTCGCGCCGATTTCCCCCCCGGGCTGGGTGTAATCTGTTACGCAGACGATACCCTCGTGACAGCCCGGGGGGCAAACTTCCAAGAGGCGGCGCGCCTGGCCACAGGGGGAGTCTCCCTGGTGGTCGGGCGCATTGAGGCGCTGGGCTTACGGGTGGCCCTAGATAAGACGGAGGCCCTGTTATTTCATGGGCCCCGTCGTGGTCCACCCCCTGGCGCCTCAATCGTGGTCAACTCGGTCCTCGTACCGGTTCGGGCCCAGATGAAATATCTGGGCCTGATCCTCGACGGGAGGTGGCTCTTCGACGAGCACTTCCGACAGCTTGCTCCAAAGCTGGTCGGCGCTGCGTCTGCCCTAGGGCGACTTTTGCCCAATATGGGTGGACCCAGCGTCGCGACAAGACGGCTGTACACGGGGGTTGTCCGGTCAATGGCGCTGTACGGTGCACCGGTGTGGGCGGCGGCTCTGACCGCCCAGAATAGGGTACGCCTCTGGCGCCCTCAGAGGGTAATGGCGGTCAGAGCCATACGCGGTTACCGCACCGTTTCTACGGAGGTGGCATGCGCGTTGGCCGGAACTCCCCCGTGGGATTTGGAGGCGGAAGTGCTCGCCGAAGTTTATCGGCGAGTGGCTGACTACCGGGCGGAGAGCGGATTTCGCCCTCCGCCCGAGGATGTGCGCGAGTGGCGCGAAGCCGCTCGCCGAGCCACGATGGCTCGTTGGTCGTTCCGGCTGGAGACTCCACGCGCTGGCTTCGCCGCCGTGGAGGCTCTCCAGCCGGTCATCGCCGAGTGGGCAGGGCGGCAGCACGGGACCCTTTCCTTCCGACTGACGCAGGTGCTTTCCGGGCACGGTTGCTTCGGAAAGTACCTGCACACGGTCGCTAGGAGGGAACTGAGTCCCGCCTGCCACCACTGCGACTGCAGTGAGGACTCGGCCCAGCACACGCTGGCGGTCTGCCCCGCATGGGCGGCGCAGCGCCGGGCCCTCACTGCAGTCATCGGAGTGGATCTCTCGCTACCGGCCGTAGTACGCTCCATGGCCGGTAGCGACAGTTGTTTTACCGCGGTCGCAACCTTCTGCGAGGTAGTAATCTCGCGGAAGGAGGCGGCGGAAAGGGCCCGGGAGGACGACCTCCACTCGGACCCGATCCGCCGCCGGCGAACCGGGCGGCGGAGGCCCGCCTACCACAGCCTCATGCCGCCCTGAGTGTGGCCGCGGGTGGACGGGGTGGGTTTCCCCTCCACCCGCATTAGTTGGCCAGCCGCGAGGGGGCGGCGTCCGCGTGTGCCGGACGTCGCCTAAAGAGAGGAACATCTACATCGAGACGGAGCCCGCACCAGGAGCGGGCTGGCGCTAGGAGGGGTCCGGATGTCTTAACAACAGCTGTTCCCGGATCCCTCCTGTTACAGGCGCAGAGTGGCACACCGTGTGGTTTTAGTCGGTCCGAGTCCGACACACCACCCCGCCGCAAACCCCGGAGGGGTGACGGTCCGAGGGGATTTCCACACGTTAAAAAAAAAAAAAAAAAAAAAAAAGGGTTTGTGTCAAGTTTTCCTTCTTTTTGCAGTGCTGTTGTCCTGCGTAGTTTGCTCTCTTAGTCGCCTCTTACGACACCCTGGGGATGACGGGATGAATAGAGGCGGTGACACTCCGTATTCTTAATCCATCACCGTTCGTAGAACTTTAATATTTTGTGTTTTTTTTAGTAATCCGTTTTAATATAATACAGACATGAGATTGTCTGATGTTTTCATTCTCACGACTTAATTACTTAAATGATCATTTAGAAACTTGATATGACATTTTGAATCATGAAATTTTATGAGGGGCAAACGATCAGAAGGGTCACCTGATGGTGACAACCATCGCCCAAGCACAACTGCATCTCGAAGAGTCACAAGTGTTTGGTCGCCTTTTGCCCCCCCTTTCCCCCCAGGATGAGGGGGTAGGAGATACGGCTCCTGCTATTGTTGATCGAATTTGAAAACCAACGAAAGAATTGCTTAACACCCGTTTCCTGGTCTGGCCGGGCCAAGCCGGCCCCTTTTCAAGCCTGCCCAGAATGTTAAAATAAGCAGACGTCGATTTTTTGATAAAATGTAACAGTGGTATTTTTAGTAGGGATGTAATAAAATCACAATGACATGTGAAAAATCATATAATTTGTAAATCATAAGTCATCGTATAAAATTCAGTCGCTTTTTTGTGTTGTACGCTTAGATCTTTCAAATTACGCAACGGATTTTAATATGGTTTTTATCAATAGAGAGAGTGATTCAAGAATCGGAATTATATGTATAATACATGAATATTACAGTAGAGAAAATTAGAGAATTTCAAAGATTTGTAATGTAAAGTATTTTGTGCGCTTACATTGCAAACGCAGGCTAAACCTTACGAGATAGATCAAAATAATGTACTACGGAATTGTATATTTTAACTCAGCAAAGACTTTATCTCTAAAGGGGTAGTTAGAGGTCTATTAAACACCCACATTTTGCCGACTACACTTTTAGTCCCGTTTATGTAATAATTGTAATGTCTATTGTCTTCAATCGGGCACTAATATTTCTAAATAATATTTTTACTCCTTTATCAATACATAAGATAAATTACACGCAGATACAGACCAAATGATCGTGGTCATCACATAATATTTATCCTTATTGGGAATCGAACCCCAGACCTCTAGCTTCGCAGTCAGGGTCACTAACCACTAGACGAACAGGCCCGTTCACACCAAAGAAAAAGATTAGACGTGTAATTATAACACCTTCTGTGTTCATAATCGCGCCATCAATATCTCGATTATATTACATAACAACATTTAAACTTACATGAATTATTTTTTTCTCCTCTATACCGGTAGACAACAGCGAGAGCTAGTCCTGACTGCAGCACGATCAGGAGGAAACCCCAGTTGGTAAAGTAAATGAACCATTTGAAATGATTTAGCTTCACTGGCCCATCGTAGCTCTGCGGCAGGCGCTGACACGAGAAACTAGCAACGGCAATTGACGCCATAAAGAGGAACAACAGCCATCTGTAGCAAAGAAAAAAAAATACTGAACGGGTTCCGAACAACATTTAAAGTAAAATAAATAATCGGTTATGTATATACACTACATAGATCGAAAAACTAAGTAGATTTATACTAAAAGCTGTATAAATATACTTAAATGCATTTAAAATTTTGTAAATATTAAATAGGAAATCATATAGATCAACGTAAATAGACATAGTTGCACATAAGAAAGTCGAAAACCTGACTGAGCAGTTGAATGTAATACCAACATACCACTGCGGTGTACCGTTTGATATATGTCGATATTATTAATTGAATATGTTGATTTGCTATTAAAACGTACAATATGTTCATGAGTTCAAATTAAAGATCTAACTCGAGGGTCTTTTTTTTTCAAGTCATACACGAGACGGCAAGCGCAAATATGGCTTTCAATAGGTATGTGATTCTTCGCTCTTTTTACTTTTACGTCATTACCCGCAACAGAATAAGTTAAAAAAAACTTTGAAAATTTACTATATATAGTTAAATTCTTGTCACTATATTATTATGTGCTTAGAACAACGGCGAACGACGCTAAAGAATTAAAAGAAAGAATATTTCCCCGGGTACCTTTCATCATATGTGTAAAAAAAAATACTTAAAAAATATAATCGATGTTAATACGCCTGCAACACGATGTATTGCAATACGCTAAATTGATAATTCTTTAATATTACCCTTAGAGATGGAATTTCTTCTTGAAATTTGTGTTTTTTTTTTCAAATAAGACTGCTGATAAACATACTAATGTATTTCTAAATATACACGTTTTATAGAAAAATTACACCCAGGCACAGAACAAATGATCGTGCTCATAACACAATTATTTGTCCTGGTGAGAATCGAACCCACCACCTCTGGCTTAGCAGTCAGGGTCACTAACCACTAGACCAACAAGCCTGTCGACGGACGAAAATGTTTTTAGTAAAAAAAAACGGACAGAATAATTTTTTTAGACCAATGATGTCATACGATCCTTGGAACTCATATTCGGGATGGAACCTGTTAAAGAGCTCTGTAGAGCCGTCAGCGAAAATCGTTTCCATTAAAGTGCAGTTACACGCGAAAGTAAATAATTTTGACAAGTTTTATTCATAGACAAATGACCTAATAATGCGTATCTCAGAAACACAGTACCTAATACATTACCTGTATATAAGGTATGCTGTGGAAGGATGTTGTGGATTTTTTTGCCATTGACAACAAGCAAACTGGTGAGGGGGTGAGTGTTCTAGGTTAAGTGCACGGCGGCTAGCGCTCCATATGCGCCCTAGCATTGCAGGTTTACATGACTTCTGCATCGCTGCAACAAAAGAAAATATATTACACTAACTTCACTAAATTGTGAATATTCACAGCAATAATGACATATAGCGGGAAAGCTAAACTTTAATTGTTGTCCACAACAAGTCCTAGAGTGTACTGAGAGGCCTCGTGTCTTTTTTATTTCATGGATAGAAGCTAAGGCAAGTTGTTTACTTTTAAAGTCCATTGTTAGCATTATTATCTAGTATTATGGCAAATAATTAATTTATAATCTAGACAATCTGTATTTTAACCTTCCTGTAAAGTTATTATAATAATGTTTCCAACTTTTAGCTAAATTTGTATTCCGTACAAAAATATAAGATTATTCTTTTGAGTTTTGTGTGATTTATGATTTTGATTATTTTAGTGCAGAAATCGCTACATAAATAATTGCATAAAAATGATGGATCAACTTCCTACATTCATCATCTGTGAAAGAAAGCGCTGTTTAAACACTGTAAAATAGGTGCTCTTTTTACAGCATTTAAGTTCATCATGTATAAAACAAATGTTGTCGAAATACTATAAAGTAAGTTCTTTGCTATATAGGTAGTGACGTACAATTTTTAAACGTTGACGACCTGATAATTTCAATGTACTCGTAACATAAATTCTAATTGTAGCATTGTCCAATGAAATTGCGCGTGTTGTTGCCGATCGATTTTATGAAATAGAATAATGTGTTGCTAGGCGGCCTTAGTTCCACCCATGAACAAATTGCTTTAAGAGTCATTCAAGGGTTTGTTCAATAGGGTAATGTTTAGTATTTTATCTTATCGGTTATGTTTCTTGTTTTTTAAATGTCACAGACGGCGTTACACGAGTGTACGTTTACTACTTTAAATTTTGTTCTCTATATCGAGGTTCTATGTTCGGTGGACTTTATCTCCGGATCAAATAAGCCAAAAAGTGCTTTTAGACAAACACACAGCACACTTAATTTACTTAATATGTAGATAACAGAACAAAATCAATAAGGAAGTAACAAACCCAAATATGAGGTAGCTTTTGAAAACCGTTTAGGAGTTTTCTCGTTCCCTTGTAGTTAGAACTACATATATGTGTGCCTATTTGGCACAGACTAAAACTCAATAGGCAAAAAAATCATTGATTCCCTATTTTTCTACTCTTTGCGTAGTTTTCAAATTTTAACGGAACCAACTTAGAGTTAAACATTTTCGAATAAGTAGAGAATTATCGAAATCGGCATACAATGTGAAATGTAGCTTGACTGATACTTTATTATTTACCGGTCATTACTTTTTCTACATAAACAAACTAGGTATGAAGGAATGGATATCATGTTCTTCAAACACTAACGGTTAGAATCGATTTAACCAATCTACTGACTGACTAACTTACTGATTCTACTGAAACGAGAGTTTTGCCTCACGAATGATATTCTGCAGATTTATGTTGATTATTTGTCGCAGTTTCTTCCAAGCTTAAAGCTACCGCTCTGTCAGATCAGAAGTTACTTTAGAAGTGAGTCGTTCGGATTGCTTTTGAGTACAAGCATAGAAATCTAATTTTGATTTAAGTGATTGTGCCAAAAAAAAATCCGTAATCCGTAATATAAATCTCTCGGAAATCCTCATACTAAAACATTTGTATTTTCCATATTAATGTTTTAGAAATAATATATTGTATTTTCCATATTAGTGTAGTAGAAAAAATATCTAGGCTCTAAATCGCAGAGGTCACGTGAGTTCAAGCGGTCAACTATGTTCAACACGCGATCAATAAAGACTTTAATTAAGATTAACATTACGTTCTCCGATATACAGCGATAACAAGGGGAGTCAGTAACATTTTACCTCAATCAAACGTTCCTTTCAGTTCACAAACATTAAATCAATTTCAATGTCTTCCTCATAATCGCTATTGGTTGAGCACCGCGATAACGAAATGAAAGTTGCTATGTATTTTATTCTAGTAACAGTAAATTTAAACTTTGAAAAGCTATACTAATAAATAAAATTAACGATGCTCAAGGTCTACATCAATACCGATACTCTTTCGTATTGAAATCTAACTACTCAAATACAAAAAAAAAAATTGTCAATGATTAATAAATGACGTTGATATCTACGATAAGGGTCTTCTAGACGGCGAGGTCAATGCACAACAAATTGATAGCCACCTGCAGCTATTGGGTGGATTAACGTGTGGGAGCAGCATCTGTTCGCAGAATAACAACTAATTAGTACACAAGGCTTGAGAACATTGTTAGGAGCGTTTCTATAAGCTTATGTCTGGTCAGTCTTAGAAACGAGCTGACCGTCACTTATTAATGAATTCACTACGCCTAAATCATGATAAATTATGTGGTTGAAAAACTTCTTCAAATTTAAATGGAACCACCTTGGGTACAAACAAATAAACAAAATAAAAAACTAAAATCGGCTTACAAATTGCTAATATACACAAAAAAATCTAGGCGAAATGAGAACTCTTTTTTTAAAGCCATTTATAAAGTTGATATACTGAATTTAAATGAAAATTGAAAGTTCTACGGGTGAACTTTGAACTTTTTTTTGACATGAACGCATTGACTTGAATTAATTTGAATAATACGTAGTACACATTGACCTAGACTTAGAACACAATAACATATTTAATATTCTAGGTTGGCAATTAAAAAATAAACATATCGATGCTGAACATTTAATTTTTATAGGCCTGTTGTTCTAAAAACAATTACAATTGGTAAAAACTACATTCATTGCATAGTAATTACTATATTATAGAAAAACAAGGACTTCAACTTTCAAAATTATTTTATTTGCAAAAGGTAAGGTAAGGTTTTGAGGTAGGTGTAAATTGATCGATATTGTCCTCTTCAACGGTTAGTTTTCTCGATTGTGTACCACTAGGTGATGCAGTATTGTTACAAAGTAACGCAAAACTATTATATATATACTTACATACTTAAGGAAATAAAAGAACTTATTAAATACCAATTCCACTTTAGTTAGTTTCGTGACCTCTGAACCTATCTTCCACAGTTAAGTAATGACATACAACACAGAATGTGATAGTTGACCGTAATCTATTCGAATCAGATTTTCGTTATTAAACGACTTGTTACGTCATTAAATAAAATGTTTATCAATATTGAGAGTGTTTTTTTTTAATCTAATGCAAATAATAATTTAAATATAATTTCGTATAGTTTGCCGTGATTTATTTTAATCATTGCAAAACTACTTTATCATTCGCAATTGATATACAAATACGTTACGGTTTTATAGACATTGTTCTTTCTGTAAGTCGTTTAGTAATCATTATCATACTAGTTAAGACTTTCATTCATGTTGTCATTTTTTCATTTGATTCTCTCATTCAAATATAATGTGTATACCTAAAAGCCGAGTACAGCACTGTGCGTGGTTTTAGGCAATTTGCTCAATACCACCAAAAGACTCGGTGGTAGTGGCGACCCGAGGAGCTTTCAGGGGTTTTTGCTATATTGTGCTTTAAATGGAACATTTCAAAGATTTAGCTCAATGTTAGCAAATCGAGACTTAGGTACTAATATCGGTAACACGGTAATTATTCAATGCGCGTGTTGCTACGCATTTTTTTTATGTGCCGTGTATAAAACACATTAAACAGAGTCACATAGAATAAATGGGTGTTATCTAAGTACGAGGTAATTGTGAATGGCAATTCATGTAGTTATTTTTATTGAAGCCTTTTCAGACAATAAGGCTGCGTTTCGCTCTGCTGAACGTGTCCATCAAAACATGATAGTGATCGGACATCATACTATAACTATACGTTTAGTTCCCACTGCATTATAAAACCATTGATTTCCCATATTCAGAATTAGTAAGTGAAATCATAAATGTGTTCTAATAAAAACTGGATTTGCATCTCTGAAAGATATGGCTTAATTATTATTGGCTTTTAAGTAGATATATGCTGTTGTGTAAATATACTGATCGGCAGAAAAGTAACCTATAAATTAAAAGGAAACCTATGAAATATACAAAGATTATGAAATTATAGTAGAGGCCACGACGGATGTGGAGAAGGGGCTGATCCTAGTGCTCATGACAAGATTACTAGGTTCAGGGCCGCGCGGTACCGCACCGGCACCCAGTGCAGCGGCAGCATCTTTAAGGGGCGGTAAAAACAGAAATCGAATCGAAAACGAAACATTCTTATGATTTTCATGTCTAAGATATGGGACGGGAGCATGATAATCCGTAAAGTAAAACCGCACGACACAACATGCAGCGGCGTCCCGCGCCATGCCACGACGTGCCGCGATATAATAGGATTTCTAAACTCATTAAAATAATCATAAAAAGAACTTGATCAGATAAAAAGTCCATCTCACCGGTTGTCCGAAAGACAATTTCTGAACGGAAAACAAGGCAGCAGCTTCATCGGCATTGCACGCGGATGCTCAAACAGCTAGCGGCCCTGACCAGTTTTATTTTAATGGTACTGGATTTCCAAAAGTGACTTTTCAAAGCGAGGATGTAACAGTTTGTGCAGTGGCGGATTCAGGATTTTGGTTTGGTCCTACGAGGTTATAACGGGGGTCCGTTATAACCTCGACTTCTCAAAATTCTCAATTTTCAGACCGACTTTATTTAATTCTTGACTGATCGCTTAATGCGTTACCAGTTTAGTTAGTTGCAGATGGGAAGCATATGAACTATTCGTGAAGTGTGCTCTTCTGTGTATCCAAATACCTGATACATACGCTGATTTGTTTTATACCACTGGCATCGGTTGTTTCGTCAGCAAGGACAGTATATTATATAGCTTCTTTGACATTGTCGAGTACCTTTTTCATAATGACGGGATGGCAACAATTAATCAACTGATTTTGAGTTGTCTTGATCAGATACGTAGCGTTTTTAAACGCTGACTTTTTAGCGAGATGAATCTCCTGAGTCAATGCGAAATTTCAAAAGTGAAGGAAATTTTCCTTGACCGATTTCATCATAATCACTCAATGTATCATCATCACGGT